TTGGCAGCCCGATTAAGGGAATTGTATTAATCCAACTAGAATTAACAAAGCATTGATTAGTTTTCTGCATCGTTTTGAGACATAATGTGTGGACATAAGGCTCTCCTTGAAAAGTGTGTATATGGAAGTTGAAGGACATAAACTGATCTAATACAACTCCTAGATTCCTAACACATGTGTGCTACATGCCAGGCTGATGTCATCTCAGCAGTTACATCATTAGACAATGTCCCTCTGATTGTTGATGCCAATAACTGTAACTTCAATTTTATTTGAATTAAGCAACAAAATAATTCTAGTCATCCAGGTCCTTAAGGCATGCATCTAGTTTAGCTAGCTAATTGGTTTCATCTGGCTTCATTGATAAGAATAACTGAGTATCATCTGCATAGCAGGTTACCTAGAGGAAGCATATATAAGGTGAAAAGACTCTGCCCGAGTACAGGACCTTGTGGAATTCCATGACTAAATTGAATGTGCATGTACAAACTGAGATCCACAGATATACAGATGAATAGTATAATTAACATAAAATGCATGTGGCATTAAGTCGAAAGTCTTAAAACAACTACTTGAAAAACGAAAAATCTGAAGTGAATGACTTACTGTTGACAGAGGACTGTGAAATGCTGATGTTTGAATCTTGATTTCTTTTTGTGAACTAGCTCTTTTACTAATCATTTGAAGAAGCAGTAACTTTCAGTTCAGCTCAGAAATGTTTTACTTTTCCATTGTGAAGAAACTAGCAACCTTTTAATACAATTTGTAATACCATCCCTAGAGCCATCTTAATTGTTGCTGTTTTCATGACCATAGCCATTTTGTGACCATAGCCTAAAAATGTTACATTTCTCTCTGCACTCTTTCAGGTACCTTGGGCCACAGTTCTGTGGGTTCCTGAGTAATAAGAACGGACCGTTCGCTAGCTGTCACGCTAAGGTTTCAGTTGAAGAGTTTGTGTCTGACTGTCTCTACGACGTCTGCATCAATGAAGGACGACAGAAGGTGCTGTGTGAGGCTCTGAGCACCTACATGGCAGAGTGCCAGGAAAATGACGCATCAGTAGCGCCATGGAGACAACTGGCAGGCTGTCGTAAGTTAGATGTATTATGTTTTACACAACATAGACAACGCATACAACCCATGTTGTTCCTTTGGAGCGAGTAATGACCGTATTTGGATCAGACGCTGGTTAGAAAACGATTTGTGAGAACCTCCAGTTTTTCAACTTGGGAGTAATTTTGGCAACAACGGGAAAAGTGTAGTTGAAATTTAAAAACTTTTTTGACCAATTAAGTCTCAGCATCTGTGTATGCAGGACAAACTGTTTATGGAAAGTAAAAACAAGCGGAATACAATCAGAAAATTGTATTTCTATAAATGGAAATGCACGTAGGAGCAGCAGCTAACAGCCTGTTGTAGATCAAACATTTACACTTAAGACACAAATCTGCTTGAGGGTATGTTTGACAGCCAATCAGCATTTAGATTTCCAAAATTCCTTGAGAAACGATCCAACCTGCATGCAACAAGCATTTAACATAAAACTAATCTTCTACTCTTGAGGACAGAACCGGACAAAGCTTGACTTTGACATTTTTACAAATCTGCATCAAGATGTTATTTCAGCAAATTAAAGCTCTATTAATGCAAATAAATCCCATTTACAGTTAAAGTAAGACTTGCTAGAAACAGTTGAAACCGCGTTCCTTTGGGGGATGTAATGAACCAGGAGTTTATTTTGCAGACAAATCCGGAGGGTGAAGTTCTCCTTGCTTTTGATCGTAACACAAAGTTGCTTCGTAAATTGATAATTTGACTGTAAACAATGCAGAGCACAGAAAAGGAAGTCAACTAAATGAACATCCTGCTAAACTGAAAAAGACTTGAAACTAGAGGCTGAGACCATAAACTGAAATTTTCCTGATAAGTACAACCATTTTCTCAAAAACTTCTATACAATCCGACTTAATTTTGCAACCAGTGGAGTTGCCCCCTACTGGACATTATAAAGAATGCAGGTTTGAGATACTTCAGCTTTAGGTACACCTTTCAGACCTGCAGGTTACGTTCACTTACATGCAGTCTTTGTTCCAACCAATAACATGACCTCCCCTCTGTTATTCCTCCAGCTCCTCCGTGTCCTGAAAACAGTCACTACGAGCCGTGCGGCTCAGCGTGTCCGCCCGGCTGTGGACCTCAGCCTGAGTTCTGCACTAAGATCTGTGTGGAGGGCTGTTTCTGTGACGAAGGATATGTGAAAAGTGGAACAGAGTAAGTGTACGACACCAATGTAGATAGTATAAAGAATCCAGTGTAGTGTAATTAATTTATTAAGATGTTATTTCCTAATTATTCCTCGGGCACCATCCTTAAAAGTAACGAAATTAATATTACTTGTAGTAATTAATTAATCAATCAATTTCATATCAGAAGAGTAAGTTCTCGAGATGTTTAAACCATTAAACAATTATAACGTATATGACACCATGATACGATATCTTGGAATTCTAGTTCTTAATTCTTATGGTGAAATTTATGTTTAGTAAAGATATTAGACACGGTACTGTTTTGAATGACTTAATCAGCAAATGATCAAAGGGGGAAAAAGTTGATAAATTATTATTATTATTATTATTATTACTATTAGGAAATTGTAGATTGATAGCGCTGGCTTTCTCATTTGACGACCTATTTGTCTGTTGAACTGTTGTTACTGACATGTGAATGTAACTGTTTGAATGCTGTAGTGATGTGTTTGTTTCCTTTTATGTTGTCTTTGCGTTTTTCAATGGCTCGGTAGGTTGTGAAACGGAATTGCCCTTCTGGGATAAATAAAGTTTTCTGAATCTGAATCTGAATCTGAATAAATTTTGGGATTAAATTTGGACTCGGATTCTGAATGCGACACGACCAATCTGATCTCTCAACACCCGCTGCCAAATTGATTTTATTGTTTTCTACAAGCATGCAATTTCAGTGGTACCAGGACATATCCATCAGCAAAGTGAGGAAAGCCCCCATGTGGTTTATTCTCTTGGCTGGATGATAGTGCAGTGATGGTTTGCAGATTTCTAAAAAGAAAACCAAAAATGTAAACAATGAAGTATGACTTGCAACCTCTCATTATTTCACCTGGGATGAGTTATTTCTCTGCCCTCCTGTCTGCCAGGTGTGTGACCAAGGAGAAGGGCTGCGGCTGTGAACATAACGGACATTATTACAAGCCAGATGAGGAGTTCTGGGGCGACTCTGAATGCAACGACAAGTGCGTGTGTGACGCAGCAACAAAACAGGTGACGTGTAAGTCAGTGGGATGTCAGGCCGGAGAGATGTGCAGCGTCGTAGACGGAGTCCGGGACTGTTATCCAATCAGCTTTAAGACGTGCACAGCACGCGGAGACCCACACTACTCCTCCTTCGATGGACGCAAGTTTGACTTCCAGGGAAACTGTGTCTACAAGCTGGCTGGTGTGTGTGGAGACACTAAAGGACTGAAGGACTTTGAGGTGAGCAGCAGAGAGACAGTCAGTGATGTTTTCTTTTTTTTTTTTTCTTTTTTTCTTTTCTTTTTTTGGGCTTTATTGGAGGGAAAGGAGAGTGGATAGAGTCGGAAATCAGAGAGAGAATAGGGAATGACATGCGGGAAAGGAGCCACAGGTCGGAACTGAACCCGGACCGCCCGCTTGGAGAACTACAGCCTCCATACATGGGGCGCGCGCTCTAACCACTGCGCCGCCAGCGCCCCAACAGTCAGTGATGTTTGACTCGAAAACAAAACATGTCAGATGTGAAGTCCTTTCAGATTTATACAGTTGTTCCTCGAACACACAAGGCTGGTTTGTGATGAGTTTTAGCAGTTGGGATGTATAACGCTTATCCCTTTGGGGTCGCAGGTATGCTGGAGCCAATCACAGCTGTAATTGTTTGGTAGGCAGTGCTGCACCTCGCTCACAGGACTGACACTCAGATATAACTTGGCAACTGGAGACATTTTTAGTCCAGTTAGTTTCACCTCAGCTGTAAGCCAGAGAGCTAAGTTAATGGTGTCAAGATTCAGAGTGGATAACAATGTGTAGAGTTTACATACAGTGAACACAATGTAACAAGAAGACTGGCTAGCTAAGCAGAAAACATCTCGTGTAGCCAGCCTGAGTTCACAGGAGCAGAGTAACTCCTGCTGCTTGTGTGCTACAGTTTACAGACTGATGTGGCCAGCATTACATGTTTAACTCTTTATCATCCCAGTGTAGTTGTTTCATGAATGTGTCCTCCTCTCTTCTGTCCATCAATCATCCCTGCTCTTATTTATGTATTTTTTGATTGTAGGTAACTCTGGAGAACAACAACCGCGGCAACAAAAAAGTGTCCTACGCCAAAGTGGTGACACTTAATGTCTTCGGCAAAAAGTTCACACTCTCACAGGAAAACAAAGGCAAAGTGATGGTGAGAAACATGCGAATACACACACACACACACACACACACACACACACACACACACACACACACACACACACACAATGGGTTTTAAAGGGTCAGCCTACATATATGATGAGGCTTGAAAAAGTGCACAGCCATTGATGAACATATTCATAACATTTTTGGAGTTAGCATCCCTTTTAGGTTAGGAACAGTATATATGGACTACAGTTCATCTGGTTGGTGGCAATTTTACAAAAATTAACATTGAATCAAAGGAGTTCTCCTGTTTTCAAAATTGAGACGCTTCACACGCTTTCATTTCATTGCACCTCTATTTTTATCATCTCTTCTTGTTGCTTCCACCCTTCAGGTCCCTTTCCTTCAGTCTTTTTTTTCAACCAAAAAAGTTGACAATGAAAATGAAAATGGCGTTTATATTTCTTCCCTAGAGCCGTCACTTCACCCATGTCTCCTCTCACACTGTCTGTGTTTCCCCCTTCACCTTGATCCGCCTCTCTCCCTCTCTGAACAAAACTCAAATAACAAACCAAAATGCATTTTAAAGCATGTCTCTGTGTGTGTGTGTGTTTTCCACAGGTGGATGGAGTGATAGAATCTCTGCCATTCCTGTGGAATAAATCACAGGTGCAGGTTCATCGCAGACACAGAGAGGCCGTCATCGAAACACACTTTTTAAAGGTATTTATGAGCACACACACACGATTTATTCAGTTTGTTGAAGAGGCTGAAATGTGTGTTTACCTGCACGCTCGTCATGAGACGTCTTGTTTGTGTGTCGTGATGATGTTGCAGAATGACTTTGAATCGGGCAAATGGCATCATAAAATAAAAAAATCTGATTAATAGCAGGTGTGTGGCAGGTTTGTGCTTTTTTAAAGAGAGGACGGTGGATAGAGTCAGAAATCAGAGAGAATACATTTTTCTTTGACTCTCAAGTTCAAGTTCAAGTTATCTTTATTAGTGAAATGCACAACATAACACGCAAAGCAGTCATAGATGGCAATTACATTTTTGTGTTCCAAGCTCTCTTTAACAAAGCAAAAAAATAAATAAAAAAATAAACAATAATAATGATAATAATAATAATAATAAATAAATTAATAAAAACTCCTTCATGTTACAGGTCTCCTTTGACTATGTGAGTTCAGTGAGGGTGGAGCTGGCTTCTAACTATAAAAATGCAGCCTGTGGTCTTTGTGGAAACATGAACGGAGACCCAGCGGACGACCTGATGCTGCTCGACGGGAAGCAGGCCAACAGCGCCACGGTGTTTGGAATGAGCCATTGGGTGGCTGATGTGAAGGGATGCTCTCATGAGTGTAAGAAGCTCATTGGCTCTCGCTTTTACTTAAATCTAGATTTTAAATGTAAATTGCTTTGCATCACCCTGCATTCATGTGATGTTGGAAACATTGGAAAAACAAGTTTCAGAGCTGGACAGTAGACGTTAAAATGTCTGATGGATATCTTCTTTCATATAAAAACAAATAAATCAATAATAATATTGCTGATGCTTTTTGTGTTTTCAGGTAAAGACTGTCCTCCACCCCTCCCCGTTGACTTCAAACTGCCTGACTACACTAAGGCGTGTGACGTGATAACAGAAAAGGACGGACCCCTGGCTGAATGTTCAGAGCTCCTGGATTCCAAACAGTACCACCAAGACTGTGTCTACGACATTTATCTAAATGAAGGCAAACAGGAGGCAGCCTGTGACATCATCAGAGACTACGTGGAGGAGTGTCAGAGGAAACAAGGCAACGTCAAACCGTGGAGGACAGAGAACTCCTGCCGTGAGTGTTTTCAATTACGTTTTCTCACTTTTATGACGATTGTTTCTTGATTGTTATCGATTTTGGTTGTAAAAAATAAATAAATAAATACCACTCATTCTAAAACAATACAAACCCTGTTTATTTTAAGTTCAATAGAAAGAAAAGTAGTAAAGCTTCATAAAAAAAAGAAAAAAACTGCTGCAAAAAAAAGACAGAGCCACAGCAGACAAGTGACAGAGAAAAAAAAATGAAAAAAAACAAAGAAACAGAAGAATGAAGACGTCCTGTTGTTTCACAGTCTTGAGACTCTTAAAGTCATATTGACACCCTGCATGAAACCAAAACAATTCGCGCTGCATTGTTGTGTTAGCATGCTAATGCTAGCGATCTTTATTATGCTCGTATCTTCACACTGCATGTAAATTTACCTGAAATGAGTGTGATCTAGAAACACAGTTAAGCAGTGAGTACAGTATGTTATTCTTCTTTTCTCTAGTCCCTCAATTAAACAACTTTTACACACGAGGGGAGGAGTCAGCCGGCCGTCCCAACGATGTAAACAAACATAAGATAGGACTCTGAAAACTCTGAAAACATCACAGACAGTGGGACTCTGACATTGTAGACAGTCATGACTCACAGAGTTATTTTCAGAGGATATACTTGATTTCTATTACATTTAAGTGTGAAAAATCACAGATAAAGCCTTTAAGTTAAAATGTGGGAATCATGGCAATTCTTACTGGATGTTTCTGTAGATAAAACAACAAACTTCTTCTGCTCCAAACTTCTGAAAAGGTGTACTAAACGTGTTTTCCGGACTCCATTCTTTCATGATTAATTATTTTTTGTATCTGTAATGTATTTAATATTATGTGTGTTTGTGTGTGTGTGTGTGTGTCTGTCAGCGATGGACTGTCAAGCCAATAGTGATTACAGTCTCAGTGCTCCTGGCTGTCCAATCACCTGCGACTCCTTATCTCAACGTGCCAACTGTAAAGTCGCACCAAGTGAGGGCTGTGTGTGTCAACATGGATACGTGCTGAATAAGGTAATATCCTCATCCATGCCCCGCCCACTGAAGTAATAGACTAGATTAAACTGATCACTTAAGACATAAATCAGTGCGATAAAAACTTACTATAATGACAGGATTGTTTGAGAAACATTTATTTGACGTGTGTTTGAATCACACACTCCTGATTTAATTTTCCTGACTGTTGAATCGTTTCCTCTGCAGGATCGCTGTGTGAAACTGGCTGAATGTGGCTGTTTCCTTGGTGGTCGTTACCTCGAGATTGGTGAGGGGCACTACGACGATCACTGCGGTTTATACTGTAAGTGTTTGCTCGGGATAAGGATATGCACACTAAAACCCTGCGGCCCCCAGCAGAAATGTGGTGTGGTGAACGGAGTGAGGGGCTGCTACTAATCAGGGAATCATCAAATCAAGTTATTTAGGAGAGAATATATCTATCTATGTTGTGTTTATACCTTGGACTATCAGCTATAATAAAGATTCTTCTGCGGTAACAGAATTAATGTTGTTCAGGAGCCCTTATCCTTAATCAGGTTGACTTATATGACATATTTGAAAATTGATTTAATCATTTTTGTTTTTTTCTGTCACTTTCGTTCCTCTGTTTAAAATTAAGCAGTATGGTATGGTTTTGATTACATAATTACCTTTGAATACTGCAGCTAAAACCTCATCAGGTACTCATGGATAATAATATTCATATCAAAGGAATGCTGTCCATTACATCAACCCTGCAGTACATCCTACTCACATGGCGGCTGTAATGATCGTTTGTAAACCCTGTGTGAAATGATGCTAAACATTATAATCACCATGTAGGAAGCAGGATATTGATTGCACTGAGTGTTTAATTATGTTACACAAAGCCTTTACCATCACTAGAGAAACTCTTGATGATTCTTACCTTGTTATAACTCACAGTAAAAAATCACAGTAATCATCTTTCCCTATGATATTTCCTTCCATGCACACATTTATCTGCAGTGAACTGTACAATCAATAGATGTCAGTCTTTACTAATCAAGTATTTCTAATGACCATTAAATATAATTCAGCAACATGATGGTCTGTTGTGTCTTTTTTATTTACAAATGACATTTATTGGCGACATTAAATGTATAAGCAAAAATCATGATAAGTCTTCGATCGCTGTTTATGGGGGCCCTTAAATTAGATGCAAAGGTGTTATACAAAAGCATGTTTATAGACATTTCTACATAGAGATTGTTGGGTCACGCAGGCTTAGGACAGTCAAACAATGGACTTGGGCCTGCACCTCTGTGAGAAGCCTCATTTGAGTTATTCGCTGAGATCACAAAGAGGCCTAAAAGGACTCTTAATCCCAGAATCCCCCGACAGTACTAGGCACACCTACGCGTGAAGTAAGGGGGGACCGGAACCTCTCTCTCCTCATTGGAGGGGACCTGAGGTAGACCCCCCATGAAGCAGGCCAGGCTACAAAGCTCCAAGACTTCCATTGCTCTCTCTCTTTCCACGCGCTGACTTCAAGTGTTCGGAGACACAAGCTCACCTCCTGTTTCCTGCAACAATCTTCCTTTGTTTTAAGTTTTGGCGCGCAGGTAATCCGCGGCCGGCAGTGTTCTGAATTCCGAGCTCGGATTGTCCAGTGAACGCATCTCAGTTTCTTGGAGACCGTCAGACTATAACAGATCATCAGAAAGATAACAGTCCTGCAACGAAAGGACATCAACGGACATCTTCCCACTCGACGGAGAACCAACGAAGCCGCTCTCGCCGTAAGGGACCCTCGCCGCCATCAGACGCCTCTGCACCAGGACGGACAGAAGATCTGCTCCATCGCCGGACTCTTTTCCTTTCACCAATCGCGGGAAAAGCGATTCACAAGTGAGGCTTAATTAGGTCTGGGCAGAATTAGCTTTAGAGAGTGTTTTTAACAATTGTTTGATTGATGCAGAAACTGTAATTTTTATCTTTGTTGGACCGCTGCGTCCTGAGTTTTACCTGTTTAAAACTCTTGTTGTTGTTTCGGACCGCTGCGTCCTATATGTGTTTAGCGTAACAGTGTTATAACCGGGTATTACTCTTCTGATCAGAAAGGCCAGTGTAAGCCGTATTAACTTGAATTCGGCCATTGGTTTGTTTCTGTGAATGAAGGGAATTACTCCGAGTTGTGGCGCGGGAGTCAGACTGTACTCCGGCCTCTTAAGGCACGCATTTCTACTCTCCTCTACTCTCCTCTACTCTCCTCTTTTCTCCCCCTTTTACTAACCGACACACACACATATTCGTGTGTAGACGTACATCTGGAGACTAAGTCTATCACCGTGCCATTACGCACATAGGCTACACACCCACACACACAGAGATCTATACACTCGCGGCCATCCAGACGCCTCAGAGACACAGATCGTGTAGGGCTGAACTCGGTGTCTTTTAGACATTAAGGCCACGTTAGGTCTTTGTTAGGTGTGCGCCATCGGAAGGGCGACCACGTGGGACGAAGCAATCTCCCCCCTCTTCCCCCTTCTCTCTCTCTTTCAGCCACGGACACACACACGCACGCACCCAGGTCTTTGTTAGGTGTGTGCCATCGTGAGCGACCACGTGAGTATGAAGCCATCTCCCCCTTCCCCCCCCCCCCTCTCTCACACACTCGCTGGGTGCGAGGGCTTTGTGTACGGATTTCACGCCTTCAATTTATTAAATATAGTTAAAAATTATTAATAATATTAGTAATTAAATAACTAATTTGAGACTGATTCGAGTGATATTTTGGTTATATTTCCCTGAGTACAGGGTGGTGCCCCAAAACGAGATTAAACATAATTTAATTATATTTTAGTTATATTATTAATAATTAAATATAGTTATTAAAGAATATAACCAAAGTTGACTTGATACAACCCCAACAAGATATATAATCATAATGAGGAGAAAGCGAGGAGCATGTGGAGATGTGGAAAAGTAACATGGTATATTCTACGTATGTTTGACTGCATTTTAGAGGAGGTGTACAGTTTCACAATTTGTAAACCTGATTTGATAGGGCGAAGCGTTTATTTACACCTGAAAAAAAGTATACATCCGTGATCTGATAATGCTGGGTGTAACTGCACCCCAATGCGTCCTGAGGACAGACCTTGGCCTGCTTGACAGCTGAGACAACATAAGGAGGTGGTCTTTAAAGAAGCGTATTGAATTCACATGAGAAAATAAAAATCTGATTTGTTCTTCTCAATTAAAAAGCTAAAAATCTCAGATTTATGATCTAGGTTTTTTGATTGTGTAAATGCTCAGGAGTCTTGGGCAGCATTAAGGACCACCTCCTCAACTGGGGGAACAATGCTGCCTACCGCTGGGTGTAAACGAAGATGCATTTTTTTTCAGCGGAAATGATGTACAGGCACTTATTTGCATGTGAGGCAGACAAGTGAGTTATGATCTCAAGTACTCAATGGAGTGAAATAGTGAAATAAATTGTGTAAAGTGCTTTTCACTTATCAGATCACCCAGAACGGATGCAGCATGATTACTGGTCAGTTGAGGAAGCTGTGGCTCAGTTGGTAGAGTCATCGTCTCTCAAATGGAAGGTCGAGGGTTCGATCTTCAGCTCCTGCAGCAACATGTTAAAATGCGTGTTCAAAACTCTGCTCTCATGGGTTCTCATACCACTGCTATGCTGATGATACCCAGCTCTTCCTGTCATTCCACCGGTTTTGACCACCGGTAATCGAGCGAGCAGCACCCGAGCAGAGCAGCGAGCAGCACCTGAGCAGCGAACTACGGGTGAGCGTATTGCATCATTTTCTGTTCTGTTCTCCTCTGTACTGTGTTACTGTGTACCTACTCTTAGCTTAGCTTAGCAGTTAGCTTTACAATGGCTTCTTTTTCTGTCTCTCCCTCTCCTGCTCTCTCTTGCTCTACTTGTCAGATGTTAAGTTACTCCTCGTCCTCCTTTAGTGATAATGATACATGTAAGAAATGTAGTTTATTTTTAGCTTTGGAGGCGAGGGTGTCTGAGTTAGAGAGATGGCTCCGCACCATTGAGTCAGAGTCATCGTATGCAGCAGTAGTTAGCCAGCCACCTGTAGCCGGTGCGGGCCGACATAGCTTGGCTTCCCCCCCGGTAGCTCCCGAGCAGCCGGGAGGCAGTGGCTGGGTTACTGTCCGAGGAAAGCATAGTCGAAAATTGAAGCACTCGGTTCCCCACCAACCACTTCACGTTTCAAACAAATTTTCCCCACTCAGCGACACACTGAGAATAAAACTCTGATTATTGGAGACTCCATAGTCCGAAACGTGAAGATAGCGGGCATAGTTAGGTGTATACCCGGGGCCAGAGCGGGCGACATCGCATCTCATTTAAAGTTGCTGACAAAGACTAAAGATAGATTTGATACAATCGTAATTCATGTCGGCACTAATGACTCCCAACTACGCCAGTCAGAAGTCACTAAGGTTAATGTGGAGTCGGTGTGTACTTTTGCTAAGACGATGTCGGACTCCGTAGTGTTCTCTGGACCTCTCCCAAATCAGACCGGTGATGACATGTATAGCCGCATGTCATCACTCAACCGCTGGCTGTCAAGGTGGTGTCCAGCACACGATGTGGGCTTCATAGATAACTGGCAGTCTTTTTGGGGAAAACCTGGTTGCTAGCTAGAGACGGCATCCATCCTACTTTGGACGGTGCAGCTCTATTATCTAGAAACATAGCAGAGGTTATTAGTCCAAAACCTTGACAACAAGACAGAGTTCAGACCAGGAGGCAGAGCTGCAGTCTTACACGCTTCTCTGCGCCTCCCTTAGATCTGTCTCCCAGTCACTATAGCTGTAATTCTGAATCGAACTGTAGTTATACTATAGGTAGTGTGTCTGTCCCCCGGCCCAGACCCGTTTTTATAAGTCATCCAAACGGCGTAAATCTTCAAAATCTCATCAGGATCAAGACTACGAATACGATTTTGCTAAAAAATCAGAAGATTCACTGTGGACTTTTGAACATCAGCCAGTTCTAGTTGTTGTAGTTTACCGCCCTCCTGGCCCATATTCTGAGTTTCTATCTGAATTTGCAGAATTTTTATCAGATTTAGTCCTTAGCAGTGATAGAATAATTGTTGTAGGTGACTTCAATATCCATGTGGATGTTGATAATGATAGCCTTAGCACAGCTTTCATGTCACTATTAGACTCTATTGGTTTCACCCAGGGTGTAAATGAACCTACTCATCGTTTCAACCACACCCTGGATCTTGTTTTAGCTTATGGAATTGAAATCCATAACCTTACAGTTTTCCTAGAAAATCCTCTCCTATCAGACCATTTTTTTATTACATTCGACTTTGTCCTGCCAGAATTATCTCTGCTTGGAAGCGGTGTGCTCTCTAGAAGTTTGTCGGATAGTGCTGTGGCTAGATTTAAGGAAGCTATTTCAGCTGCTTTTGATTCAGTACCGTTTTTCAACCCAGTTGGAATCTCTTATGATAGCTTTAGTCCTTCTCAGCTAGATCAGTTTGTTGATAGTGCAGTGGATTCGCTGAGAGTTACTCTTGATTCGATTGCTCCCCTGGAATGGAGGGTTGTCAAGCGGCGGAAAGTGGCTCCATGGTTCAACTCAGAAACCCGTACTCTAAAACAATCGTCGCGGAATTTTAAAAGAATATGGCGCTCGACCAAAACGGTAGAATCTCGTTTTTTCTGGCAGGATAGTCATAGAAGATATATGAAGGGTCTACGTCACGCTCGAGCTGCCTACTACTCCTCTCTAATCGAGGAAAACAAAGGCAATCCTAGATACCTTTTCAGCACTGTAGCCAGGCTGACAGAGTCATGGCTCCATTGAGCCTTGTATTCCTCTAGCCCTCAGCAGTAATGACTTCCTGAGCTTTTTCAATAACAAAATTCTAGACATCAGAGACAAAATTGGTAACCTCCTGCCCTTACCCGGTGCGGATACGTCTGATATGGCAGAGACAGTTCCAGGACCAGATATTAGTCTCAACTGTTTTTCTCCAATCGACCTTTCAGATCTATATTCCATTTTTTCTGCGTCAAAACCGTCAACC